TCCCCCTGGTGCTGGGAACGGCACCCGGCGCTGTCATTCTGTGAGAGCTCGTGGTCGGGGGTGGCCGTGGGTGCCGCTGCCTCGGTGGCCCCAAAGCGGTGAGAACCAACGTGCCGGGGGCTGGAATGAGCTGGCAGAGCCAGGGCAGCACCGGGGGTGGTGTGGGCATGCGGCGGGCAACGGTCTCACCCCAACCTGCACCTGTTCTGGCCCTCTGAAAAAACAAAATACAAGAAAATAAAGATTTTCATCTGGTTTTCTTGATGCAAATGTGCTGGGGATGGGGACAGGGATGGGGACAGGAATGGGGTGGCATTGGCTTGGGGTGGGGGGGCACGGAGGGGACAGCAGAGGGCAGCTGCGGTGGGAGAGCTGCAGGGCAGGTTGGTGGCCGGTGGCTCAGTTGGGTGGTGGTCACACCAGTCCAAATCTAGGTTGGTGTCCACCCAAGGCCTTCAGCCATCACTTGGTGGCGCAGAGCCTTCCTCCACCCCCTCGGTCTTCCTCTCCCCCTCCTTTTTTGGAGATTTCTTTCTTCTCTTTTTTTTTTTTTTTTTTTGGTTTCCAAAATTAAATGCGCTTCACCTCCTGCCCCTTCCACCCTGCAGCCCTTGCCCTGTTGGAAAGGAAGTACGAGGTGCTGTTTTTGAGCAGATCTCAGATCAACAACCCAACCACTGAGTGCGGAAGCACCACCCTGGGCACCGGGGAGGGCACCTGGCCACCGCCATGGCTCCCGAGGAGCTCGCCAGCTCAGCCGACTATGATTACCCACCGGTGACCAACGTGACGGGGAACTGGGAGGTCTCCGGGTGGGAGGTCTTCTTCACCACCGTCTTCATCCCCATCCTCTACTCCTTCATCTTCCTCCTCGGCCTCCTGGGGAACCTCTTTGTCATCGTGCTGATGGCCAAGAAGAGCGGGGGCAAGAGGATGGTGGATACCTTCGTGCTGAACCTGGCAGTGGCCGATGTCATCTTCATCTGCACCTTGCCCTTCTGGGTGGTGGCAGGGGCACGGGGGAACCGTTGGCCACTTGGTGAAGGGCTCTGCAAGGTGAGTAGCTATGCCATCGCTGTCAACCGCTGCTCCAGCATCCTCTTCCTCACCGCCCTCAGCGTGGAGCGCTACCTGGTCATCAGGAAGGTGCTGGACACCAAGATGATGGGTTCCCGAAGGCACGTCCGTGTCACCTGCGGCATCATCTGGGCAGCGTCCCTCATCCTGGGCGCCCCGTCCCTGGTGTACCGGCGGCTGGATGGAGATGACTGCTGGGATGAAGATGGAGAGGACTTCAGCTTGACCATGGTCTTCCTCACCTTCCTCCTGCCTTTGGGAGTCATCTCCTTCTGCTACTGCTCCATCTACTGCCAGCTCCAGCGGCACGTCCGGCTGGGGAGGGGCGTCCGGCGTTCCCACCGTGCCATCGTCACCATCGTCGTAGCCTTCCTCTGCTCCTGGTTGCCCCTCAACGCCTGCAAGGTGCTGCTCTTCTTCCTTGCCAAGGGGACACTGGTCCTGTCCCAGGGGCAGGAGATGGCCCTGAGGTGGGTGGTGGCCGGCAGCACCTGCCTGGCCTTCGTTAACAG